AAACAAACAAACAAACAAACAAACAAACAAAATCATTTGTTTCTCTTATTGGGTGGCAGTTCTTTTAGATCAGAGGTTCTTAACCTTGGGTAACCCAGGTGTTCTTGGACTGCAATTCCCAGAAGCCTTCACCACCAGCTATGCTGGCCAGGGCTTCTGGGATCTGCAGTCGAAGAACACCTGGGTTACCCAAGGTTAAGAACCACTGTTTTAGATTATGCTACAGTGGACATGAAACTTCTATTTTTGAAAAGAACTTCAATAGGGTGGATTGGATTTAAATCATGATTTAATTTTTTAACTTTTTTTTTCAATTTTAATTTTTAAAAGTCAATGTTTTTGTTTAAATTGTGATTTAAATTAATTTGATTTTAAGGAATCATTGATTTTATCCACACCGACTTCAAACAGAATGTGGAAATGACGGTTGTTGTGGGTTTTTCGGGCTCTTTGGCCGTGTTCTGAAGGTTGTTCTTCTTGACATTTTGCCAGTCTCTGTGGCCGACATCTTCAGAGGACCTTCAGAACACGGTCAAAGAGCCCAAAAAACTCACAACAACCATCAGCTCCTGGCCGCGAAAGCCTTCAAGAATACACAGAATGTGGAAAGTTTTCAGGTGTTTTCCCCCCTTAAAAAAACTTCCAGTACTCCTCTAATGTAGTAGGTTTATAGAACCAAATGTTTGCCATTCTTAAAGAAAATCACACTAGGTGTGGCAGAGGAAAGCACATACCAGCCATTTTAATAGAAATTGTGGGTATTATCCAATGAATAAATACTTGGGATACTGGCAGAGTGAATCACTAATCTGTTTAGCAATGTTTGCTGTGTTTCTGGAGACTGTTTTAGATTTTAGTGGAAATCTTCTGAGGCACTGCAAACAAAGGACTGACTGTAACAGAACTACAGTAAGTGAGGGGAAGTATGTTTTGTTGGCTACAACGGGAAGACAAAAGCACTTCCATCAATAAAAGACAAATGTCTATATACAGCATTACTCTGTATCATTCTCTAAGAGCAAAGCCTAGTAAAAAACCAGACATTTGTGTGACATTGTACAGAAAACAACTTACTGCTATTGACATGAACACAGGGTGCCAGGAAAATAAACCTGGAAGTAAGAGATAGAGAGAGATAAATGGAACATGATTCAGTTTTTGCTAAGCAATCTAAAAATAAACATGACTTCAATAGCCAACTTGAAAAAGACCATAACAAAAGAAGTCTGATCTATGACAAAACATTGGTAGCAATCAGGGGCAAGTTCTCTGTGAGCACGGAGGAACTTTCCTATCAGCAGCTATGGAATAGGAAAGAACATCCCATACTTACTTTCACAAGAGACAGTGGGACTACAAAGCACATGCACGACTCCAGGTAACTATCCAATGATGGAATGAAACAAGAAGAGATGCAACGAAAAATGCCGTGGTTTAAACATGACTGGCAAAGAGCTTAATTTCTATGGCAACACCTTTCTCCATGCAAGAGCATATATTTACAATCTAATTACCTCAGGGTTGTTGCTGATTTGTTCCAATTATAACATTTAAGATGTGGTGGGATTTGATATTTTGACAAGAGCAGACATGGCAGGCTGAAGCATGACATATTAAGGAATCCAGGAGGATTTGGGCAGGAACACTAAACAACCATTTCTATCTTCCTAAATGCAGATCCCAGTTCCATACCTGGACTGCCTTCACTTTCTGGGAACTCTTTAGCAAATTAATTTTCATTATTCTTCCTCTCTGATTTCAACTTGGATAAGAACTAGCCTCTTTCTTTTCTTTTTAAAGGCTGGAAACTGGCATATTTAAACTGTTGAAAATTCAAGTGAATTGCAGCAGAATTTCAGGCTACAAGCAGTCTGAAACTGAACTGTTATCGTGGGTATGATGGGGAACTATATGTATACCTTTATACTCCTTATTTCCTACATAAATGGTTGAGATGCAGCCTCTTGCTTTGAACAAGCACAGAAAGCACAGGACCCATACTGATAATGAAATGTGATAGTCTCAGCCAGAACATGTGTCCGCGGAATCCCAAAAGACTAGTGGGTCCTACAACAAAATGTTGCCACGTTTTTGCTTCTGTTCAGGATTCTGGCCACAACCACTCAGAATATGCAATCGGCAGTGAACTTTGGTTTGTGGAGAGGATCCCCCTAAGCCCAATTATACCATCCTCTTGAGGATGGCATTACTGTATTCTGGTTACACAAGGAGACTGCTCATGTATATAATTCTCTAAAATCCTGTGACATCGTCTTCTATGGCAGGACAAGGTTTCCCAAACAGTCAGGTCTGCATGGAGGTCGACTACCAGTACATGGACTCCCTTCCTTCTCTTGCATTCCTCATACACATCTGCTATGATAGGAACAAGGGACCTGTGACGTTCCAGGAGTTTTTGGACTATAGTTCCCACCAGGCCTTGCCATGCTGGCTACTAGCAAGATAAGGTAGGAGTAGCAATCCATCAATATCCACAGGGCCAAATGCTTCCCAGTCTTGTTATAATAAAGCCATATTAACATGAATCAGCTTTAGAACAACTGTAGTAGTAGAACAAGGAAAGTGCTATAATTCAAAAGCTTGCGGAGAGGAAAGGAATTATTAAGAATTAATTTAGTGAGAAAACAGAATTTTATCTAACTAATCGATTTTTAGTCAAGATTCTATGCAGATCTTAGCTAGTCCTTTCTCTTTCTGAGCTGGTGAACACACAGGAAAAGTTGCATTTAAAGAGGTACCACTACAGAGACCCTAATCCTGCACAAATTGATAGTGGCTGCCCGTTATGTACAACGAAACACACTGAATACAATATAAACTCACGGAAGCAATTTTAAGCCCAGTTAATATTTGGGTGGGGCAGAGTAATCATGTGCTTTAATTCACTAAAAGCTCCCTCATTTAAAAGTAAATAAATGTGGCCAAATCATGCCCAGTTATTAGAAGCACAAAGAAGCTTTCATACTGAAAGCAGTTCTAAGCAGTGTAATACAGAGGCTGATGGACTGAGACTGTCAGATTAGGATTTCAAAAATAGAACACCACAGAGATCTAGAGTCTGCCTCCTGAAGTTCACTGAAGCTGTTGGATTCTGAAATAAGAAACATCCATTATCTACTGTAAAGTTGTCATCTCCTAAAACAAGACTTGTGGCAGTTGTAACAGAGAGAAAACCCATCTCAGACTAAACAACCTCACAACAGACAAACAAATGACACCTAGGCTGGTAATGCATTACATGAGGCAAATATAGCTTCTAATGTTAGAACTGCAGATCTGGAAGGGACCCTATAGATCAGAGGTCGTCAACCCCCGGTTCGCGGCCCATTGCCGGTCCGTGACTTGAGCCCAACTGGGCCGCGAAGAGAGACCTCCTGCCCCCCACGCACTCCCCTCCCCACAGCTGGTTTGTGCACACGCGCGTCAGCAGCGTGAGCGCTCCCTCACCCCTTCATACAAGCCCCCGCGTGCGCAAAGCAGCTGTGGGGAGTGGAGTGAGTGCGGGGGGGAGCGGGAGGTCTGCCTTTGCGGCCCGGCGGCAGCGATGGGGCTGGGGGAGAGCCAGAGGGCAGGGCAAGGCCCAGGTGTTCAAGCGGCCCTCCTCCCGGCAGCGGCAGCAACGAAAAGGGTGAGGGGGTGGCTGGGGGAGAGCCAGATAAAATTAAAATTAAAAAGACTCCCAGGCTGCCGCTGCCGCCACGGGTGTGCAGGTGCTCCTGCGCATCCGCAAAGTGGTGAAGGAATGCGCGTGCCCTCCCCAACCACCGTGCGCATGCATCGGAGAGGGCAAGCACGAAGGGCCGCCCCACCTCCATCAGGGACTCTCCCGGTCCGGACTAGTAAAAAGGTTGGAGAACTCTGGTATAGATAATCAAGTCTAGCCCTGTCAAGCATGCACAGTGGGGAACTGAACTCTCTACCTCTGATACCAAAACCACGGAGCTACAGTGGACCCTCAAATTAAAGACTGCTCGACTTACAGACTTTTCGAGTTACAGACTTCTCTGGCCACAAAATTTAGGTTCGACTTGCAGCCAGAGAATCGACCTACAGACCAGAAAAAAACCAAAATGGAACAAAAACGGAACAAAAACGGCCAGTTACAGGATTAATCGGTTTTCAATGCATTGTAGGTCAATGGAGACTCGACCTACAGACTTTTGACCTGCAGCCACCGTTCCAATATGGATTAATTCTGTAAGTAGAGGGTCCACTGTATCAGTTCACTGCTGACACTATGTAAAAGTATTTGGGAACAGGTTTGACTAGCATCACCATAGTATGCATGTGTGCCATGCAGCACAGAAAGCAAAACCCTGTCATTGAAACAAATGGTACTAAACAGAACTAAAGTCCCTGCAAAATTAGACTGTGTACTGTATTCTAACTGCACGAAACTAGAACACACTTTTCTGACTAGCCCATAATTTTAAAAAGCTAGAATTTTTCCTTTTTGAAAACCACTCTCTCCAAAATATTATCATATTTTTCTATTAAAGAAATTGTACAAGAAACCACTGTTGATATGTGCATTGAGGTTGCTCTCAGCTTACATGGATCTTAATAGAGTTTTCAATATATGTGTTCAACAAGTAGTTTTACTATCACTACAGTACTCCCCACTGAGCTTCCATAAGCAGGAATTTCAGTCTCCCAAGTCCTAATCTAACATACTATCCACTATATTGCACTGGCTCTTATGGAAAATCATGCATAGATTGTTATATGGAATACAGTAGTTGTATTTCCAACATGTCTAATACATGCAGAAACCACAATCACCTTCAGCTTGTCAGCACAAGTACACAACATGCAATGAAAGACAGACATATCTGCCACATGTATAAATCAATTCATGCTTTACCTAAACAGAAATGCTTTTCACATAGGAAGATAATCAGATCTGAAGTAACTCCAAGAAGCAGGTAAGTAGTCTTTGACAGGTACTGTACTGTATATATGTTCTCCATATACAGTGGTGCCTCGCACAACGATTGCTTCATACAACGATGAATTCACACAGCGATGGGTTTCTTTGAGGAATTTCCCCCATCATTTAACGATGTTCTCTATGGGGGAATTTCACTTAACGCTGTCCCTTTTTCGCTCCTGTAAAAGTGTCTTAAACTGTTAGAAACCTGTTTTAAATGCTTGCAATCATTAGCCCACCTCCTGAACCCTATGCAAACTTAATTTGGTGTTGTTCTGAGTCGTTGTTAATTTTTGGTGATTTTTTAAATTATCAATTGAAAGCCTTTGAATGGTCCGTTCAAAGGCTTTCAATGGAGAATTTAAAAAATCACCAAAAATTAACGACGACTCAGAACAACACCAAATTAAGTCTGCATAGGTTTCAGGAGGTGGGCTAATGATTGCAAGCATTAATCTGTTCCAATTGGAACGGATTAACCGGTTTTCAATGCATTCCTATGGGAAATGGTGTTTCACTTAACGATGTTTTCACATAACAATTTTTTTATGGAACCAATTAACATCGTTAAGCGAGGCACCACTGTACAGTATTTGCCAAGTAGAGGTAGGAAATGCTCTTTAATCCATCAACTTCAAAGTTGTATCATTCCAAATTATAGGTTTGTTCTGAAGTTACTAAACAAAATTAAAGTTTGGTTCAGAGGATTGTTTCCAGGTCACTATTTCAGCATGGATCAAATAATCCATTCTTCGAAAAGAATTTGTGACTGGAACTCTGGGTCCCTGCATAAGTGCAAACCAAAGAAAAACTAAGGCATTTTGTTATGCTATGTTGTGCACTTTGTGTAATGCTGTCTGGGGCTTCCCCTTCTCCTTTTGGCGGTGCAGTTCCATTCTATCACCTGTCTTGGGCAGTAAATTCACTGTTGCACCATCATGCCACACATTCCTTCCCCTAAAGGAACCTCTGGCATGATGGACCTTGTATGGACAGCTGAAAAAGTCTGGACAAGGCATATAACATTCATTTAAAGATGACTGTAGCTCACTCTAGATTACAGTCAGGTAAGCCCATTATCAGGATCACTTAATGGCGTTCTGTGTCTGGTCGTGCTGGCCACATGACCACAGAAACTGTCTTTGGACAAACTCTGGCTCTACGGCTTGGAAACGGGGATGAGCACCGCACCCTAGAGTCGGAGAACCTTTACCTAAGACCATTATCAAGATCACTTAGCACAGAGTAATTATCCTGTGGTTTCTTTAGCCACTGTGTTCATACAACTTGCATTCCGTTAATATTAACTACCCATCAAACTTAAGGGTTTAGAACTCCTACCACTCAGATGAGGACCTGCATTCCAAATAATTATTTGTTTTCCTGAAGATTCACTTTAGACATGTGTCCATACACAGTATATTTTAAGAATGGTGATTTTCCATGTGCATTATTATATATTATGTTTAGCTGACTGCATCTTTCTCACCTTCAGAAGCATTTAAGTCCTGAAAGGTAGCTTAGAAATCCACTTAAAAGTAAATAATCCATCCTTTTAACACTTCAGACTCCTCAGTTGAGATAACAAAGTGCTTAGAGGCATCCAAGATAATTACTAAGTGCTACAAGCATTTGAATGTGCCATACTGTATTTACAACTAGAAGAGTCGAAGTGATGAAAGATGGGAGTACTTATTAAAAACTGTTTTTCTCTCTCTCCCAGAATAATTTATTTGTGAGTAATTTATTTTGAGTATTTCTGTCTGTGAATGGCTCAGTCAAGGAGAAAATCTACAAATGTGTTGTTAGTAATATAATCTAATGTTGGATTTCTACGATTTCTGTTGGAAAGGCTTCATTATGAGATGTTTTCTTGTTGTCTATTTTATTATGTTTATGTAAAACTGTTTTATTTTATGTTGTTAGCCGCCTAGAGTGGTCTTAACCAACCAGATAGGCGGGATATAAATAAAATAAATATAAATATAATATATATAAAAAGATACCTAGATAATTGGGTTCAATCTTTCTAAATCTCCACATGGATATATCTTCCATTCTTCAAGAAGTCTTCTCATTTTATCACATCACTTTTGTTTGTATTCTACAAGAGTATCCATATCCTATGCAGAATGTTCACTTTAAAAAACACCCCAGTGGAAGAATTGCCACATTTCATGTCCAGGCTACTACTCCATCCCTACCCGCCTGCCTCCTTATCAGGATCAACCCCTTATGTTGTGTGTATATGTGAATACTTGCTTGTCTGCCTGCATCTGCACACAGCTCTCTCTCTCTCTCTCTCTCTCTCTCTCTCTGTGTGTCTCTCTCTCTCTCTCTCTCTCTCTCTCTCTCTCTCTCTCCATCTGGGCAGCAGCAGCCGCCACCACCGAAACAGGCTTTAATTCCCTTATGCTCCAAAACTGGCACCTGCCTGGGGTGGAGGTGGGGGGTCATTCATAGGCTTGTTTGAAATGCCTTCTATTCTTAACAGCCATTTAGATCCTCCAATCTCTTTTTGTAAAAGTGTAAAAGATGAAAAGAGAATCTGAACAAGAATGATGAGAAATGAGCTACAGAAAACCAGAAGGATTTGTGCTAGGACCTCCTGCTTCTCTCACACACCAAGACCAAGTGACAGCACACTATTAAAATTGTCCCAGGCCTCTCCCTGACTCAAAGAAGGGCCCAAAAGCTTTCCCCCATCTCACTCTATATATAGTAATTTTCTGCTCTCTAGTGCGTGGGCTCTTTGTCTTATTGCCTGCCGGTCTACTGATGCAGTGGGTCGTGTACTACCAGCACTTACCTAAGGAAATAATTGTCTGCCTCCAAATCCAGGCTAAAAGGCCAGTTGTCGGTCAATCAGCCAATCCATCAGACTCGGCCCTGTTTACTATGCCAGACCTATTCCGAGGCTTCCCGCTTCCCCCCCGCCTCCCCGACACCTCTCTTGCTTGCATTCTGGGTCCCATTAACTATTACGAAGAGCGACAGAAGGTGGCGGCGGCGGCTGTCCCAGCCTAATTAATATGCACAGTATATCAGGATGGCCGTGAGAAACTGAGGGGTTGCCCTGAGCTCTGGGAGGGCACCAGGCATCCTTAAAACATGGCCTGCTTTGCAATCTGCCCCCGGACCCTAGAAGGGGCGCCCCCGGGCCAAGAGGCGGAGGCCCAGGGGACCTCCCTTCCGTCCTCGGCCACGCCGTGCCTCATCCCTCCCGTCGGTTCCCGCTTGGCGAGACCAAGGGACGTGCCACTCACTGGTGCCAGGCCTGGAAAGCAGCAACAGGAGACCCGTCGTGCCAGCAGCCGCCAAGTGCGCCAGCACGACGCAGCCGCG